TTAATATATACCATTTTGGTAATTTAGGAATATAATCTAACGGTTGGGTTGGCAATATATAAATCATGTAACAGTGTACCTGTTTGTACACAGTTCAGTATAAAACGTCTCGGTGAGATTAGCCAATATCTTGGGTTAAAGATAGATAAAACTAGGGGAGGATACAAAATCTTGTTGATGACTGTCTTATCCGTGTATGACTTGGACTGTTTGATGGACTCTGATACCTCTATTTCCAGGAAAGTAAAAGCCTGCAGTGTCTCTGTATGCTAGTTTATGTGTTCTCCAACGCAACTCTCACAACGCTTCTCTGGACGTACTTGCTCTCCCAACGGGGAGCTTACCTAACAGTAACCAAGCCATCAAAATCTGTTTTAAAACTATTTTAGGTGCTGCATATATCATGGTGCATCTTAAGGATGTCTGTGCAACTACATGTGTAAATATCCCTAGATAGAAATCTAAAAGCCTTCATTCAGGTGGTATGTTGGTGAGCATTGAAAAATGGGACCAGAAAATGTGTTTGCATTTCAGAGTCCTAGCAGCATTTTATTATTGTCTCTCTAGATTAATATTCTATACATTTCCCTCTCTGGACTGCTCACAAATTAAGATAATTTTGCATTTAATTAATACAACATAGTGAGGTTATGTTTCAAGACCATAACAATTTCTCTTTAAAATTATTTTTCCTTTTTTATGTAAAAGTTACTTTGGTTTAAATAGGCTTGCTTAGGTGGTAGTTTTTATTCCATAACACTTAACAATTTGTTAGCTTTCATGTTTTATAATTTATTCTTAAATTACGATCTTTGAATAGCAATAGCATTAGCACTTAGACTTATATACCATTTCACAGTGCTTTACAGCAGGGGTCGCCAATTTCTCGGACCTCAGGGACTACTAAATTCTTAATTTTAAATACCGCGGACCACTAATGTGAATTTTTTAAAAAGATAAATAGTATTTAGTGCAATATAAAAGTGCAAATAATTTTTCTGCGGACCATCAAAATTTTATCACGGACCACCAGTGGTCTGCGGACCACCAGTTGGTGACCGCTGCTTTACAGCACTCTAACTGCTTTACAGAGTCAGCATATTGCCCCCAACAATCTGGGTCCTCATTTTACCGACATCGGAAAGATGGAAGGCTGAGTCAACCTTGAGCCAGTGAGAATCGAACTGTCAGCAGAATTAGCCTGCAATATTGCATTCTGACTGCGCCATAATGGCCCTTCTATTGGCTTAGCATCTATTGGCAATCATAAGGTATGTTTAATAAGTTCCAAAGCAATTCTAATTTTTTTATAATTAAATTAGCAAAATTTCAAACTAGAGTTCAAATTGGCAACCTCAGGGCTATGGTATTTTTGAGTTTTCTATTTCATTAGTTCATTCTGAGTCATCTCTTCCACAGACATTGTTCTCCCTTTGGCCTTATTTAATATTTGTGTTGCAGTAGGTGAGTGTCAGATAAGCGACTTGCCCTGAGATAGGAGAGATTGTAAGGAAAGGAATCTGTCCTGTTTCTTTACAGTTATCTTCTTATATCCTTCCTTTGCTGAGAATAACTTGTGCAGAATTCCTGATATCTGATCCTGTGCTGTACGATAAGGCAGACAAGAGTGATGCTACTAGTTTGATATTTATCTTATACCATATTTAGAAATAGCTTTTACCTCAGTCATAGGGTGACCCCTGGAAGGGAGAAGCTTGAGCAGTTATCTAACTCAGTCCATGCAAGGTAAGATTCCATTGACATTAAACAGCCCTGGCAGAATTGTTCTTAATCCATTTTAATCTTACTGTTTGATTTTAGCCTAAATAAATGCACATCAATAAAACTCCCCTTTTCCACTTAAATTTGGAGAATTCTCCATGCTAAGTCTAGTGGAAAAAGGATGGAACTTCTCATCTCTCCATCAGTCAACTTGGTATCTTTTTCTCTATGACCATCTTAAAAGTAGAGGAAAAAACTTTCTTTTGCCAAGCCACTTGGTCAAAATTATTGTTGTGTTTTCAATCTGTTTTTAAAAGCCAGAAAGCCTACATTTTTTCTGTAGGTCAGACATAAGAGTTCTTGTCTTTCCCAATTATTATGCAACCCAGGCAGGCTACTTTCTTTCTAGTTCATGTAATTTTGTAAAAGTACTTGCATGACTAATTTACATGTGGCATATAATTTAGATTGTCCTATGATGTCAAGCTTTTTTTAGGCCACCAGAAGGAACAAGAAGCTAACATTTATGGCCCATGAAATGTTATACATATCCATGTACCTGCCTTAGATTTATTTCAGAGCCACTCATTGGTTTTTTAAACATTTGTGGCATGGACTCATTCCATTCTAAACATAGTTAGATCCAGTTTTATTTAGCATGATGAGCACTTGTGTGACTGTAAGAGACTTGCGTTCATAATTTTGCATCATAATCAGGTAAGTGTAGAGATTTGCTCTGTGATCTGTGTGTTTTGTATATTCTCCTATTCATATTACAGTCACTCTGCAATGGACAGAAGAAATAACCTTAAGGAACAGGAGGTCAGCCACAACCAAGACAACAACAATCAGATAAAAGAAATCTGAATCTGAAATAGAAATATAAATTTGAAAAGTCATCTCGGACAAGACATATCTCTTATTAAGGTCAACTGAAGAAGCGGGAAAGTGCATTCAGACTTGCAAGATTCTGTTACTCTAACAAAATAAAAGTAGTATTAACTTACATGTGTTTATTTTCCACGTTTGGTCTATCTTGGAAGGCTCACATTTCCCATTATTGGCAATTTTTGCAAGTAGAAAGAATACTATGCATTTTATGTACATATACATACATACCTCTACAAACATGCTTGGGGTGTAAGGAAAGATTGATTGATTTGTTAGACTAATGATCATGACAAAATGGATTGCTTGACTGGTTAAGCAGATTGTCTTTTTTTCATTTGTAAAATTCCTGCGTACGTGCAATTCCAGAAAACACATTTGAAAATTACAAGTTTATGTGTGGCTGTGGAAAAGTCACTAGATAGCAGCAAAATTTTATCATGTAGGATCCCAATGCGGCTTTAGCACTACTCAGTGTCCCTAGATGAAGGGTTGAATAAAAAATAGTAATTACTTTATTTTGATTCAAGTCCTCTTGCTGTTAAGGGATTAGTTTCTCAGGACATTCTTCCAGCTGTTTCCAAAACAAAAAAAACCCCTCTGATCTTAAAAATACTACTATAAATTGAGGGATGAATGAGTTGTTGGGAAGAAAGCAACACCAATGCTGGCAATTTTCTGAGCAGGCTGCTCTCACAGCTTTACAGTGATTACACTGTAAATCATTAGTTTAAAATTTATGTCAGCAGCTTTGCTTGAACAAATGTCAGCTTTTATAATTTATAATTTATATTGCCAGAGCAGGATATCCATGAGATTAATGGGACCTAATTTTAAATATAGAACAAAATCAATGACCTGTGCTGCTTCCGGTTGACGTTGCAATGAGAATGGCTGGAAAATAACGGGCTTCGCTGAGCCTTGTGAAATTCAGCTGGTAACCAACTGATGGGATTATAGCCACCTTGTAGGGCAGTGAAGGAAGGAAAGGTACTTTGCTGATCACGAGGAACTCGCAATTTCCTTGTTAGGTCTGAAGCAAGCTCTCCCGAATGGCAGCAGAGTCGACTGCCATTTTTGGCAGTCACAAAGCTGGGACAACCGGGACTGTAAGATTTGTGCTGGAGCGATTTGTGGACAGAGCATTGAAACTGGGTGAGATAATTACCAACTTTTACTCTAAAGACATGATTTAAGTATAAGAATTCTAAAAAAGAACTTCCAAGCCTAAGTAAGCGGCAATTAAATACACGGAGAGGGGGAGGAACAACTGAAAACCAAGAGGCGAAAGAAGCCAAAGAGAAGCTTTAAAACACAGAAAGCCTGGAAAAAAGCTTTAAAAATTTGAAAGGTGGTTTTCGGGAGAAACTGTCTTGTTTATTTGTATTTCTAACCCCCCCTGGATTTACCTGATAATCAGCTGTTTTTGATGTTGAATTTGACAATAAGAGCTATCTACTCGAAGAAGAGAAGTACTACAGCACTATAGCCGCAGTATACCCAGTGAAAGTGAACTTGAAACACAAAAAGTCTAAAGAATACACAGAATAGAAGTAACATCTGGAAGATGGCCTGACCTTGACTCTATATTAGAAGATGACTTGGATAATTTGAGAATATTTAATGAGGTTTTTTCCCCTTCTGAAGATTTAGAAAAGGAACTAAATTGCAAATAATTAAATTTTATTAAAATTGGCTATTGGATTATGGATTTGAAAGATTGGAGGAATCTAGTGGATTAGTTTGGATTTGGACTATTAATGTTATTTAACAAAATTCAAGACAAAAGAATAAAGGTCATAGAAGAAAAGAGAAAAGGAAAGTTAAAAAAACTTTAAAATTTGGATAATTGAGAAGATATAATTGGAAAATTATATGGCTGTAACTCACTAAATTTTAAAAATTATAAATTTAGGGGTTTTGGATGTATAATTATGGGAATTTTAAAAAATATTTTAAAACAGTTTTAAAAGATTGAATTCAGAGGTGGAAAAGAAAAATATCTTTTTTTTTTTACAAGGGTGTTCAAATAATACAGCAGAAAGAGACAGAGGGCACCCAGAAAGAAATGTTCAGTGGGCACAAATGCATCAAAAAGTGCTACAAGCTTCCAAGAGAGATAAAAGGCTGATTAAAAAGCCAATAAATGATGGAAGGCTGATTAAAAAGCCAATAAATGATGGAAGGCTGATTAAAAAGCCAATAAATGATGGAATTTTACAAAGGTTAAGAGATTATGAAGAAAATATATTAATAAAATGGAAAAAATGCAAATATATATATATATATATATATATATATATATATATATGTAATACACATATTAACAGATAATACAACTTATAATTTAAAATGTTGAAATTTAGAATTGTAATCTTATTGTATTATCAACTTTAATAGTGTGTTAAAGTATATTGTGTATTTAAAATATTAAGGATTAGAAATTGTGAGGATTTTGAGTTACACTTCTGGGATTGATTAAATATTGTTAATATGGCTTTATTAATAATCCTACACATTTTGAATATTGAAGTTATAGTGGAATAATGAGTAATTCTTAAAATGTTGAATATTATTAATTTAGTTGGCGCTAACAAATCTGGCTGAAAGAAATGTTATCTATGTTTAAATGAATTAATGGGAAAAACAAAGAATTATAAAGAGAATAGTATTGTTGAAGTTGGAAGATTAAAATTACACATACTTATTTGTATTATTACTGTTAGCATTGTTTAAAAAAGATTTGGCTCAGTCAATACACTGTTCACAAAATATGTATCGCATGAAAAGAAAGCTGCAAATAAAACATGTTTAAAAAAAATCAATGACCTGCAATTTGTAATTCTGTGTTTTAAGGAAGTTATGTTTGAAAAAGATATTTTCTTCAAAATTTTCTACCTAAGATCGGCATGTTTCTTAATGTGTTCATATATCAAAAAACAGTTTCTAATTTTTTAATGATGGTGCTCCTGGAAGTCTTCAGGCAGTCTTCTAATGAATGGACATTTTAATAAGAAAAATGAGCTCTTTGGAAAACATGTTTGGCCCCAAAGACATTTAATTCAATAAATCTAATTTTTCTTGCTTTTATTTCATTTTTTTCTCATTTGAATATTATTTATCACATTAAAGAAATTGGTGGATAGCTAATACCTATACTATCAGAGATTTGAAAACTGATTACCTTTCCATACATAAATAGGAATTTGAATGTACTTTTCCAATTTGATTATACCTTCCATTTGCTTTTTGATAGTGGCCAAGAAATTGTATAGGCATAGCTATAATTGTTTGATTTACAAATAAATCACTTAAAATGTAATTATTGGTAAAGATTATTTTTATGTATTTGTATTAATGTCATGGTCTGGTTCCTATATTCATCTTACATAGTTGCATACATGTTTATTCTAAATAGTTTATTTTAATAACTACAGTTCCTATCACTTTAAACTACAATTATTGCTACAGGTAATTCAGCACCATCCCGAAAGAAATTAACAGATGGAGCTTTCATTTTTCTTCCCTTGCAGAAAACAGAAATGAAGGTCCATAGGCACACACAATTTTGCCTCATTTGTTTGCTGACATTTGTCTTCCATCAATGTCACCATTGCCATGAAGGTGAACATAGCCACAATGACTGTCAAATCTCGGAAAATGAAAGGACCGAGCCTGAACCAAATAAGGAAGCTGAAGTTAAGCAGAAATACTACATTGAAAAACTCTTTAATCGTTACGGTGAGAATGGAAAGGTGTCGTTTTGTGGCCTGGAGAAATTGATGATGAGCCTTGGCCTTGGAGAAATTAAAATAGTAGAAATAAATCATGAGGACATTGGCCACGATTATGTTTCTTACTTAGATGTACTAGATACACAAGAAGGAAAGCGTTCTCATTCCCACAACCATCCTCATTCCCATAATCATCCCAGCTCAGAAAAACAGACTGCAAACGAAGGGTCTGGCAAAAGGAGCCAGGTGTGCGATCCAGTGAAAGAAGTTACAGAGTCATCTTTGAAGCCTGATGGTAGACATGCTCATGACTCTAACGCTCACGGACACCACAAGCATCATCACCGTCGTCATGCGCATCGCCACATGGACCATAACACTACTCATCAGTCTCACAATGATTCCATTAACACCAGTGATCATGGGGAACCAAGTCACGAGCCTTCCGCGGAGACCAATACTACTCAGGAACAGCTTGAACGAAAACTACGTACGCACCGTAAGAAATGGTGGAAAATGAAGAACAGGGAAGTTTCAAGAGTTACAGCACAAGATTTTACTCTCAATCATGACTCAAATGAACAATATGAACATAATCATGTCCACAAACATGACCATGTGCATGATGTGCCTTTCCCACATGCACGCGTTCATGAACACAATAATAATGATCATTCAGCTACTCATGGACATCAGGATCCAAATCCTGCCAGTGGGGATGGATATCGACATACCAGCAAACGAGAAGCACCTGATAAACAAATCAGCATGGGGAAGCATGCTAATCACAAGAACCATAATGAAGATGAGCATTCTTCTGAAGAGGTCTGTATGAGCCCAAAAAGAACATGATGAATCTTTCCTTCCCCAACTTTTTGCCCATCAGAGCCAACTTTGTGATGACTTATGAATGTCAGAGGTTGCAATTCTATATAATTGTGTGTAACGAAGGAAGAACTAGAGAGCCAGTTTAATGTAGGGGTGAAGGCATCAACCTAGAAACGGAGATGGAGTTCGAATCCTGCCTTGGGCACAAAGCCAGTTGGGTGACCTTGGGCCACCCAACTGTCTCCATCCTAGGAAGCGGGCAAAGACAAACAACTTCTGAAAAACCTTTGCCAAGAAAACTGCAAGGACTTGTCCAGTCCGTCTCTGAGAATTGGACACAATTGAATAAAAGGAGGGAGGGGACCTAAATAAGGGTTTATATAGCTAAGGACTTATATCGGTAGATAGATACTTGCTTTATATGGCGTTATTGAGCATGACTAATGTTTAATAAAGGAGGAAAAATACTTATCTACGTAGCTATTTAGGTTATTCCAGGATAAATCCAAGGTATTTTTTATTTGTTTATAGGATCAATAGATTTTTGAACTTTCTTCCTTGATGAACTGGTTAACCTACTAATCTTGTATGCTTTTAAAAACATACAAGGCAAATATTTAATCATCCTTGACTGGTTCAAATGAAATGTCATTTGAGTCAGCCAATGATGAAATACTGTTGACGTTACTGTTCCAAGGAAGGATTTTAATATGCATAAACATTTTCTGAATTTAGGTTTAATCTTTTAAAATTCTCCGTAGATGTAAGGAATAAATTCAATTTCCACTCCAGAAAACACAATGGATAGTTTGCTCAACATTTTATATTCCCAGTTCCTTCAATATATGATGGTTCATGGGCTAGGCAGCAGTTCAAATTACAGAAGAGACCGTGTAATTTTGGGACACTTGAGTAACTAAGTATGCCTTTAACAGTGGAACCTGCTTAATTGTCTTCTTCCTAATTTGTTTGCAGTGCTTAAATGTCACACAGCTGCTAAGCCATTATGGTCTTCGCCCCAGTTCTCCAATTTCTCCCAGCTTGTTTACTTACCTGTGCCCTGCGTTGCTGTATCAGATTGATAGGCGACTTTGTATTGAACATTATGAAGACCTGCATTTTGAAGACTTGAACAAAGCAAACAATGTTTCTCTCGGGAATGTGGAGAAAACAGGTGCGTCAGGTGAGGAAAAAAGTGTTTTGAAAGATTTGTGGGTTTTCAGATTAGTTAGTGTAATTTCATTGGATGTAAACGAAGGTTATAATTCATCATTTGACAGTTTCATGGTAATCTATGGATATCTATGCAGAGAAAGGTCCAAAATAAAACGCCTCTTTAAAAAAGCAAAAAGTGTTTTAACTTCTCCATGATCAAGCAACATATCTGTCATATTTCAAACATCCATTGCACATAAATGGCGCCTCCAGTATCTGTGGTCTTTCCCAGATTAATTTTACATCTTCCTGGGGTGTCAAAAGATGTCAATGGTTCACGTCCTTTTCAGGATAAAATGGACAGGCCAGACTGCATTCTTTACAATTTATCCTTGCCTTCTATGGCCATGTTTCAATGGCCATAACTAAGTAGATGGAATCACTTCTCCTTTGTACCTCTTCCTTATTCCACAGGGTTGAAATAATTGGATTATCTTTAAGGAGAGAGCTTTCTACTAACAGCACGGGTGAAACCAACACCCTGCCCATTTTTAAATTTTTCTTAAGAATAATTGCCCTTGTAGCACATAAAGCTTCAAACATTTCGGGCCAGAGGGCATATTTGCAATGCTGAGAACATGACATATATGTGGTCAACCAGAAACCAGGCCCTTAAATCAAAGTAGAGGGTGTTCATTGCCATCCCATCTAATCTCATTCATTCTCAACTCTGCTTATTCCTTCCTTTCTTTCTTTCTTTCTTTCTTTCTTTCTTTCTTTCTTTCTTTCTTTCTTTCTTTCTTTCTTTCTTTCTTTCTTTCTTTCTTTCCTGGATCAGTTCAGCAGAGTTTCAAATACAACATTTGATTGCAACTCCTGGTCAATTATCTTTTAGGAATGCCTCTGTGATACAAAACTCGGCTCAAATATTACTGGACACAAAAATGAAGTACAGAGATGAAGTTTCACTTTGCAGCATCCCAGATTTCCAATTAAATGTTTTCAGTTAGAATAGTTTTTAAAAATAATATAAAATGGAGAATGGAGTCTTCAGCCTCAAGCAAAATATCTGCCTGATGTTATCTCAACTAAGAGGTGATATTCACAAAATTACTCCTTAATTCTTCAGTAGAGTGTGTGCTACAAGGGTTCATCGGAAGTGATTTTTATCAGGTCGATGCAAAACAAACATGCATTTGCATGGGGGAAATCTTATATGTATAGCAAAGCAACAGGCCATTCCCAAGTGGCTGTCTTAGGCAGACATTTAAATACAGGAATTTCATGTCTGCATTTTAGCCAGAGGTTAATAAATAAAGCCTCAGGTTTTGAGGTATAGTTGCTTCTGTACAAAAGGCTGTATTATAATTGGATTTATTTATAATAGGGAATATTCTGAATAATTCTGCAAATAGGCAACAATGGGTGTTCTAGGACCAACCACACTTTGGACTGCTCATGTTATAGCACAGTAACTGAAAGTCTAAAAGAAAAAAAAATCATACAGGGAATTAATACTACACAGTTGCCTTGAAGATCAATATAAGCAAGAAAATGGGGTTCAACCAGTGGATACAATATATGAAGAACGATGATTCTAGAACTCAAGTGGATCTCCCAAACAACAAAGTAGGCTGCTTGCTTCCATTACTTGAACTGGCCTGATCAAGTTAATTTTGTCTATTTTAAAGCTGGCACTAATAAGGCAGCTATAGAAAAAGTTTGCCCTTCCTTTGAAAGAAAGTAATAGGGTATAATAATAATGAGTGTTGATTAGTTTGCAGATGTTTATTAGCATTCTCTGAAATAAAACTCCAAATGAATATGTGTGGATATATATTAATTATTGTCAAAAAATGATCTGGTAATTATTTTTAATGACTGAAACATCATTAAGAAAATGTAACATGTTGTATACAAATCTCTTGCAGTGATGCATCATTTCCTCTCTTACTAACTTTATTCAAGGATTCATAACACTAAATAATCTCTACACTGCATTTGTTAGCAAATAATTCTTTTCTCTGGGTAGTCTTGTTTTAGCCAGATTTGACCCTAGTTTAATTGCCAGTAGAGCTTATGGAAAGGTTGCTAGGCATTTTCTGTCAATTAAAATGTTAAAAGTGACTTCGTGTATGCTTTAAAAAAGGCCAAGAAAACCTGTTAGCTTGTATATGTCTTTAAACCAAGCTAATTAAAAAGTTTCCATTAATAACTGCTTCTTTTTTGAAAGAAGCATTTTTCTAACTAGATGATGAGGAACCGATGAATAAATAATCTCGAAAGACCTGCAACACCATAAGATACCTAATTTTTGGGAAGAGGGAACCAGAGGCAGTTTATTTAAAGGTAGTGTTTCTGAACACAAATCAAATTATCTTCAGTTTATACGAGTGGCACTTGTCTATTCTAATCAAGAAGCTGTCTGGTCTCTTCTGGACATAAAAGATGATCTTTGATATAAAGACAGTTTCCTAATTATTGTTTTAAAATTGGTTCTGATCTGCTAGTTTAAAAACAAGATTATCCGATGCCCTTGAAGCAGACTGACCTTTCAGACCATAATTTCCTGCTAGGGTGACCATTGGTCTTACTGGTGAGGAATGATGGCAGCTGTCAATCGACACACCTGAAAGGCTTCAAGTTGGAAAATCTGCACTAACATAGTGCTTCAGTATCCCCCCTGTTCTCATTTGCAGAGGTGTCACATCAGTTTTTCCTGATACTAATTTTTTTCCTACCCTTCGTTAGTGTTTCTGCTTCATCTTTCTCCTCTTCCCATCAGTCCCTGTGTTTATATCTTGTCTCGCCATCCTCCTCTATTTTTATTCCATCATTTCTTTGCAAACAGTTTGTTTTTCCCAGTGTACATCTTGGGAAGATAAGTGTAAACTTGCTAGATATAAATAGCTTGGATTCAAAAGGTGCTTTATAAGGCTGTATTTACATTCTACACTTAATGTTTGTGTTACTGTTGAACAAAAACTGCAAAATTGGCCTTGGGGGATTTAGTTAAATCGAGATGCTGTACTCATGAACTCACAACTAAATCCTGAGGAGACCAGGGCCAGTGTTTCCCCAGGTTTTCTAGGGGAAAAAGGCTGGAGCAGCAGGAAATAGAACGTTACACCTCAGACATATTAAGTATGTTCCTCTTTCCCACTGTTCAGTTTTTGTGGGACAACTTTCTTTTTTCAGCACAAGAAAGTGATTTTGAAGTCAATCAAACAAAAGCGACTGGGTGACTTTAGGCAATCACTTTCTCTCCTTCCAACCCACCTCACAGGATTGTTGTTGTGAGGAAAATAAGAGAGAATTAGGTCTGTTCGTCGCCTTGAGTTACTTACAAAGCAATACAGGTCAGATTTCAAAAAATGAAATCATTATACAGACTGGTGCCTAAACGTAGACTTGAACTGCCCATTGGATGGAATCAAATGGCATTTATGTATTTTCGATAACGTGTAGGATCAAATGTATTTATTCACTCTCTAAAGTGAGTGGAAGAACACTGAAGCATGCAATATTTAGCACATGTCCCATATGTTCCATACCTGTTTCATAAATCTGTGAGATCTGTCTTCGACTCGGCTTTCTCTGCCTTTCTTTTCTCCAGCAACAATGCTTATATTGCATTCTATTTTGACAATTGCATTGCATTTTGATAAATTTCATGCTTGTATTTACCCTTTTTCTGGAGAGAGCTATCATATAAGGAAAAAGTCTTGTGCAGAGCAACAGTGGTGCATTGTTATTAGTACAAGAGGCAAATTTGATAACTAGCAGAATTTCACACATTTGACAACACATACTTTTAGTACACTAGAAGGCATCTTGTATGTGTCTTTACTTGGAAATTCCACTACAGTACCAGAAACCCCAGAGTCCTTAGGAGGTGATCAGTAAGTGAAAACAGTGGAAAATAACATAAATTCACTAATCAGTGCTCTGGGTTGTTGTATTAGCTTTACAGTATTGAAATGCACTCTGAAATGTTAATTAATTCAGTATTATAATAAAATTATAATTTAATCTAACAGACTACATTTCTAAAAAAAAAAAATCTGTCGCATAGCCTGTATTTGTTAGAAAAGTGCATAATAAGTCATAAAAATGGTTTGTGTTTTATTCAAATATACAATAAAATAAGTTATATTTTAGCTGACCAGGTTTCCTTTGAATAATGTTATCCTTTGATATTTAGTGCCGTGTTTCTCAACCTTGGCAACTTGAAGATGTCCGGACTTCAACTCCCAGAATTCCCCAGCCAGCGAATGCTGGCTGGGGAATTCTGGGAGTTGAAGTCCGGACATCTTCAAGTTGCCAAGGTTGAGAAACACTGATTTAGTGTATAATTTATTGATTTTTTGTGGTTTTTTTTTCTAATTTGTATTCTTCCTTCTTTTCACAGCCTGGATCTGTGGCATCATTTCTATCACAGTTATTAGCTTGTTGTCTTTGCTAGGCGTGATTTTGATTCCTATAATCAATCAGGGATGCTTCAAATTCCTTCTCACCTTCCTGGTTGCTCTTGCTGTAGGAACCATGAGCGGAGATGCATTACTTCATCTGCTACCACATGTACGTCCAGTCTCATTCTAGGGCCTATGCCTTCATTTACTTGTGAAACATTTTTCGTTTTAACCAATTTCATTGTACACATGATGTACAATGACAATAAAGGCTATACTATTTGAAACATCTCTTTTCAAGCAGAGATGAGTAGATAGACTGAATATAATGCCTATTAGAGGTCGGGTTTTATGTATCTCACTTCTTTTTCAAAAGTTGGGAAGATGTGAACAAAAAGCAGTGATACCTATTCTATAAATGAGGGATATAGGCCAGTCAGCAAGAACCAATTTTGAGCCTCCTACGTTTGGAAAAAGTTAGGCAAGGTTGAACTAATATGCAGTTGAATTAATAATTCTTCTCTTGCTCTCTCTAAATCTGCAAGTGAAATCTGTTAATAAATAAATCCTTAAGGCTTCGCAATAGAGAGTACACTTGCAGCATCACAAAATCATTTATCCAAGATATTATTTGGGATAGGCAAATATAACCCAAAACTATTTTGTAGCTCATTTCGAACTGTCAGGGACCATCTAATTTACCATTGCTGAGAACAGGAATATTAGACCAATTTGATCTTTGTCATGCTCGCTTTTAAGCATAAGAATGATAATGAACTTGGTATCACTGTTTTGTAGTTGAGAAACACATCATTCCACATCATTTGGATTTGGCTTTCCACTGGGAAATGTTTTGTGCATAAATCTTCTTTTCCTGTTTCTTAGTCCCAAGGAGCCCACAATCACAGCCACCACGAGGGCCAGGGGCACCAGCACGAGCACCCGCATCTGCACGGCCATTCCCACGACCATGGAGGATCAGTTCCGAACTTCCTAGAAGAGTATGATGCTGTCCTGAAAGGACTTGTGGCCCTTGGAGGGATTTACCTTTTGTTCATTATTGAACACTGCATACGAATGTACAAACACTATAAGAAACAAAGGGTATGTTTGAGCAAATCCAGCTTTCTAAGATATAATAAAGTTGCGCAATAAAGAAAACAGATAAGGAGGAATAGGTATATAATTTCAGCTTGTCAGTTAGTTCTTACTGCTGTCATCCGACAGGAACCCATTAAATTTATTTTTGTATTAAATCTCCTTCCCTCAAGTTTGCCTGGTCCCCAAAAGTGGATAATAATATATTGGAGAGTTGGGCTGAGATCTGAATTCAAACACTGAAATCTGATTCAGGATACAGGTACTCTGTTTAGTTACTGCCTCATTTATGGACCATTCAGTGACAACAGTGATGAAAAAGTAATCTTGTAACCAGTCTTCACATTGTGGCTCTGTAAAAGCAAAGGAAATGTGAAGTAAGATCATAAATACAGTCCTGGTTTAATTTAGCAACCATGTTGCTTAACAATCAAGCTGCTGATCCCAATTCTGGTCACTAAAGAAGAACAGCTCGGTAATATTTCTTGAGAGCAGTTAAGGCTCTCATGTTAAGCCATGTTTTTTTCGGACCTTATACATGTAATCTTTAAAGTTACATGACATGAACGAAGGGGACTTACGTTGGGTCCTTGTAGTTGCACCTATCACAGTTATCCCCATGGTCTCGTGATCTGGGCACTTGGCAGTCAGCCTGCAGTGATGACATCACAGCACCCTGCAATCACATAGTCACCAACACTGACTTTTATTGCCAGTTTTCATTGCCATGGTGCAGTGGTTAGAATGCAGTATTGCAGGTGAACTCTGCCTACTGCCAGCAGTTCGATCCTAACCAGCTCAAGGTTGACTCAGCCTTCCATCCTTCCGAGGTGGGTAAAATAAGGACCCAGATTGTTGGGGGCCATAGGCTGACTCTGTAAACCACTTAGGGCTGTCAAAGCACTATGAAGCAGTCCGTATATAAGTCTATTGCTATTTCAACAAGCAACGTCAAAGGAGAAACGAACAGGCAGTCGCCAATTGCAGTCTTTATGTGACTGCAGGACACTGACCGTGTAGATTTCACCTAACAATGGCAACTGGGGCTTCATAAATTTGTGTAATCATGTGATGTTGCTTCTAGCAATGGAGTTGGTGGTGGTCCCAGTTCCCACTGTTAAGCTTTCTGCAGCTTGTTGGGAAGGGACTAGATTTGTCGCGTATTATTTCAGAGGTTGATGGATTAACATTTTATGTGTTCGGTATTTTCTTTAAAAAATAACAATCCTATTTTAGCCTTTTATACTTATCTCTCCAAAGCCATATCCTATTGAAAATAGAAAAATGGGTAGCTCTTTGTGTGTCTGGAAAAGTATTTCTGTTTAGTGAGAAACATAGGTTACTTGATTATGCAGATACAGATAAGTCAAGAGACACTGCAACCCCTTTTTGGTGCACGCAGATCCATGAGTTTGAAAGGCAAATCTATATACCAGCCTCCCATCATTACTCCTAGCTAGTTAAACCAATGGATTTATACTTTCTAGATATTTAGTCATCCCCTCCCCAAATTATTTTGGCTGGGACACTAGAGAAGAAAAGACCCAGGTATCAATGGTATATTACTGTGCAAATTGCTTATAATCATATATATATGATATGATATATAATCATATATATATATGATTATAAGCAATATCCTACA